TCTTTACACTTGGCTATGTCTATAGATTTTGCTTTTCTCTGTGAAGGGAAAAGAGTAAGTCAGCAGCTGCTTTGGTTGAAGAATTTACTTTGGAGCAAGTTTACAAAGAACCAGCAAAAACAAATTTACCATCTTAACTAATGGGATCAACAACCACTTGAAAGTAATATATGTTCCACGTAATTTCAGTCGAGCAGAACTGTAAGTTATGCTCCCTTGGGTAATTTTATCTACTTTTTAGGTAAGTCATTCCAAAATTCTTGATCAAAACTTTAATAAACTTTGACCATATGCTTTGTCATATCTCACCTCTGCCCTGTATTAGATTGAAGCAAACACAGTGCTGAGTATATTCTAAATATATATATACAGTAAATATAAACATTTTTACCTAATATAGGTAAAAATTAATTTCTCACTTAGCACTAAGCTGAGAATAGTATCTACCTTAGAACTGTTACAAGGATAAAATATGATCATGAATGTAAAACAAATATCTTTATAGTGACCTATAAATCACAGCTTACTTGATTACTGAATTTTCTTCTTGCTCTTCAACTCATTCACTGACTTCTAAACATTAGAACCTGAGTGATGACTTAATAATGTTTTTAAGCCATACTGCTTTAGTGAGCACAAGTCCACTCCCTACTGTTCCTGTTGTGTTTGCCTAAAATAACATAATACTAAATGCAACTTTGAAAACTACAATCTCCACCTCCAATAATCAAATATGACCCACCACTACACCTGTGGGGAAGGAAAGAAATTACAATCTGAAATAAACTGTGAAATAAACTGTGAAACACTGGAGAGCTAATAAATTACTATTCTTAATTTTACAAAGACTATGAAAGCTTAAGTTACCTATGTATTCATTCAATAACATTTATACATGGAAATGTGACCTCCATACATCTAAATACTTTTTCTCATCATTCTTAATTTTTTCAACCACAATAAGTACAATTATTTCAAAAAATTTGAAAAAAATTTTCACCAAAATTTCAAAAAATTTTTCAATTTTTTCAACCACCACAACTAGATTTTTTTTTTGGTCCCAAAATATAGTCTTGATAAGAGTCTGGCACAAAAATGACAAACCTTTGGTATGCTCAGTAACACAGTGTTGTTTAATTCAAATTTCTATTACAACTAATTGTAATTATGTCTGCGAACCACACCAGACTAGAGTTGGAGGGCAAGAATCCAGGATTTCATTTTAAATATCCTTCATTTTGTATGCATTTATTACATAAGAGCATATATATTTATATATGTATGATCATATATCAAAGTAATCAAACAATATTTATTTGCTAAATTAGACTGTATTCTACCTTCTAACTATACTGTCCTTTGACCATGTCATCATCTGCATTTGTCTCTCTGGTCACACCATTATTCCAAGCTCCTCATGGCCCCCCAAAACCAGTTAAGCCAAAGCTGATCTTTTTCTCAAAATCTATTAGAATTAACTGGTACAATGCACTGTGTAAACATCCTGTGGTGTTTGCTACATTTCCCGAAACTGAAAACAATGTATCCCAACTAGACAGTATCCTCAACTGCAAGGTGCAGGTCAGCTTCTCGACCTCCACCCAGTAAGCACCACACTGCTCAGGGAAGTGGCACTTAGCACAGTAACGGATTAAAATGTTACTGACAACAGAGCTCCGTCCTGACAGAGAGCTAAGAGCGACAGACTTGACGGGCCAGCACTTGCAGGCTTTCTCAGAGCCATGACTTGGCACACCACATGCCCTCTGGGGCGAGGGCACAAGAGAATGTTTGCTCACGGGAGAGGAAAGACCTGTCCTCTGCAGAGTCAGGTCACACAGCAGCCGGCCTTCAGCTCACGGGGCAATAAAAACAGAAACCAAGAGATCACTCTACAATGTAGATACAGAAATCAGACCCCTTTCCAGGTGAGGTGTTCCAACAAACGTCCCAGAGAAGCTCAGTCCGAGCTTGCCCAAAACCCAGGTTTCCCAATCAAGAAGCCTCTGCGACATCAAACTGCTTCTCTAAAGATGCTGCTCTCTTCACCTCAAACAAGCTCATCAAAGGAAAAACCTGAAAATATCCAAGTCCCCCACTAAGCTATCACAGGAAGGAACCAGTAATTCAAACAAACTGAGGAAGGGAAATGCTTTTTCTAGATTCCTTTTCCTCCACCCAGCCTTTGACTGGGAAAGTGCTTCCAGGGCCCCTCGGTGGCACCTTTTCACGTGCCCTCCAGTATTTTCATCTGCAGCCAGAGCGTCAGGCTGTACAGACTAAGAATCCCCAAATCGTAGGCTCCCAACCAGACTGCCGGTTGGGAGCTCGCAGTCTGCACAGTCAACTACCCTCCGGGCATCTCAGCAGGAGGTCAGCACGCCCCCGATCCAGGCGGCCAGCCGCACAGCACCCCCTTGCGGTCATGCTTCCCACCTCGGACACGCCACCTCCTAACCAGACACCTAGGCCACTGCAGTTCCTTTCTCCTCTTACCTCAGACACCAAGTCTGACCTGTCCACCCTCCAAAATAAGTAGTTCTTGTAGCCCCACCCAGATCATCCCCCATGCCAAGGATCTCCAAAGCTTTTTAATACTCCTTTTACTATTTAACAACAAAAACAAAAAGAAACTTGAGAATACGTGTACCCAAAATATGGATTTATAAATTAAAATACATGTACTTCTACAGCAATGTGGTAAGATATTATAAATCATAATAATAAATTTAAGCTTTATTTAAAAAATCAGTCTAATATTTTCTTCCTACATCCAGTGAATTATTTTATACATCCCTGGGGTCCAGGAAGCTGCACTTTGGAGACTGTATAATGAGACAAGTCCAGTAACTGTGTGTTTATATATGTATGCACTATGCATATTTGAAACAGTTTGTCACTTACACACATTTCTTGATCAGATGATATGCTTTAGCACATTGCTAAATATAGTTAACCTTATCTTCCAAAGCCACAAACCAAAACTAAAGCTTAAAAGTACCTGGCTTCTGTATTATTTTATAAATAAAACTTAACTCTGCAAAGTCTCACAATTACTCACATTTAAAAGATGAGAAACCTACAAAGTATAGCTTGGCTCCTTTTGCATACAGCTCCAGAACAAGAAATACCACCTTTTTCACTTATCTATTGAAAATTCTAAGACTGCTGAGGTTCTGAAGGTTTTCTGCACTGCAACTCCTGTAACCTAGATACGTAACTTTCTCAGTTTTCTACAGCTATAGATACTGCTATCATTTCAGGGTTCTGAAGAATAAGGTACTCTTCTGGACTCTTACCCCAATCAGCCCACCCTCTGGACCCCAAGACTCCCACCTCTGCTTTAACAACATACAAGGACAAAGCCCCACAACATATGACCAGTCAAGAGTAGACTTGCTCACACAAAAAAAGATATTTATACATTTGCACAATATAATCTAGGATTCCACTGACAACCAGACAGATCCTAACCCTCCAGGCAGAGTGGGGTAATCAGTCCACATGAATCCTCTCAGGTACTAACTGAATTTGTTACATGTTCAGAAATATCAATTAGCAGAACTCAAAAGTTCTAAAACTTTAACTATCTCATGTTTCACCCCATCACCCCAGCAGAGTAGTCATGAACCCACACATGCACCCACACATATGCCATGAAAACAAGCACCAACTGAAACTTAAATTTTCAGTATTTTATAAAGTAACCAGATGCCCTAGTTGCCCCAGGGATTAGGAATTTATCGACCCCAGTATAGGACTACAAGTTCATTCAATGACGCTAATTTGGGGCAGCTTTTAAATATCCTGACCAGAAAGCTGAGGAGAAAGCCACCTAAATCCAATGATTTATTCAATATTAATGATCCTATACTTTCCACACACAGAATACCGAGGGGATTAGAAAACAATACAGAATAAAACATTCTTTTAAAAAGAATCAACATTACAAAAACTTTAAGTCTGTGAAATCAGCATTGATGACTGAATTTGGAGTCTGCTACTTACAGAAGCAAAGTATTAACCACATCCCGTCTTTTTAACTAGCATTCTAATAACATCTTCCATTTTATACTAAATTCTAGGGTGGGTATAATGGCTTTCTCCTCAAATGCCTGTAACTAAAACATTGATTTGTTTCATGTGTTTTCTGTTTACCAGCTAATCATCTTCAGTCCCTCATTTATTAATCAGTGAACTAAAATTATTTTCAAATGTGAACATTTCGGTAGGACTCTTAAGCCAGCCCTGACTCCTGTGAGCCCTGATGGCCACAAATCCAGAATAGGTAACTTGCAAGTCAAGTTCCCTCATCACTTCTAAAGTGTTTAATACACAACCTATTGCAAAGTATGGATTCAGTTTAAGAAAAATTCCTAATCGAAATTCACTTAGCATTTGTTATTATTGTACCATCAAAACAACAATAAAAAATAACAATAATTCTACCCAACTATTTATGTAGAACGCAGATCCAAAGAAACCTTACTGATATAATCAATTACATAGCGAAATTTTTTTAAAGTCATTCTACTACATCAAGAAGGAAAGAAAAGGAGTTAATATTTATTGAGCTAAGTGTCTTCCATCTTACATCTTCTCTTCACTACACTGTACTTATGCAAGGTTACCTGCGGTTCAAACATGGGTTGCTGGACCACATGGGTTGTCCTCATCACAGCTGAATGACCATCTAGGCGCCCTGTGCCTCAGTTTCTTCATTTGTAAAACAGGTTTTAAATACAACACCTACCTCTTTGGATCAGTTCCAGGATTAAACGACAAAATAAAGGTAAAGTGCATAGAGGTAAGCATGGCCCTCACTGTCCTCATTATAATAATTACTAGCTTTATTATAGGTATAGGTAGGTACTGCTACCATTTTACAGATGGAAGAAATGGAGCCTTAACGAGTGTAACTTACTAGTAATGATCACAAAGACTAGAGCTAGGTTTTGACGCAAAAGCACAAAACTGGTGGAAAAAAAATTGCTCAGGCGTTAAACACTACCATTCTTGAAAATACAACTTGTTCTGAAGCATAGGAAACGGCAGGAATCAGGCACAAGCCGGGCAGGAGCCCTAGACACGGCCGCGACGCCCACACCCAGCATTAGGGGAAGGGCCCACAGGACGCGCCCACCCGGCACCCCGGTGCCCAGGGGCGAGGCGACGCCCGGGACGTGGGGCTGGAGCCGGGGTGAGTGGTCCCGGCGTGGAGGCCCGGCAGCCGAGGCCGCTGCCGGACGCAGGTCCGCGGAGGCCCGTCCGCGGAGGCCCGTCCGCGCCCAGCCCAGCGTCCGAGTGGTAGGTCCGACTCCCCGGCCTCCGCGACCGCGGCCCCGCGAGGACAGCGCCCCTGCCGGGAAGGTCCAGGAGCGGCCGCGGCCCGACTTCCTCCCCCGCCCGACGGCTTGGAATCCACCCGGAGGCCGCGGCCCCCACGCCTGCTCCTCCATGGGAGCCCGGCCGCGCCCCGAGCCCGCCGCCCGCCCTCCCGAGCCCACCTTCTCCCGCGGCGTCCGGCCCGCGCGATCGGCTCGGCCTGTGCTCCGCGGTTCCCGCTCGGCCTGTCCAGAGCTGGCGTGGCCTCCCGGGCTCCGGCGCGGCGGCGGCGGCGGCGGCTCCTCCTCCTCGCGGGCGGGAGGAGGAGACTCGGCGGCGCGGGGCCGCCTCCCGGCAGGAAACGACCCCCGGGGCACCGCCTCCCTGGCGCTGCGATCCCGCTCCTCAGGCCGCCGCCGCGCCTCTCGCCCTCCGGAAGCGCATTCCTGTCGGGCCGCGTCAGCCGCGCCCGGGGGAGGGGGAGGGGCGGAGGCCCGGGGGAGGGGGAGGGGCGGGGGGCAGAGGGGGAGGGGAGGGGCTGAGAGGGGGAGGGGCAGGGGGGCTGCGGCGCGGGCCGCGCGCGGGGCGGGGGCCGCCGGGACAAAGGAGCGGCCCGGCCGGGCCACGGGCTCCGCCGCAACCTCAGCGGCGCCTTCTTCCTCTGCAGCCGAGAGAGAGGGAGGATTTTGCCTGGCCCTGCTCACCTTAATATCCTTCTCGGCCTGCCTTACGCGCTGCTTCTCCAAAGCCCCATGTCTGTCCACGGCCGGCCGGCCCTGGTCTGCCCGGGTTTGAACCCTGGAAGCCCTGCCTCCCAAGGGCCGGCTCGGACAGATCGGGGCACTTCGTCACTCACCTTGTTAAGCCTTCGTGGGGCCAAAAACGTTCCCCTTTGGAAGGGAAGTAGCTAAAGCCGATATTTTTCTGGTGGGAGGATTTGCTTGATTTACGTCTTTGAGAGAGGGGACGACTTAAGGAGGAAACGGGTGCCAGGAAAGATGAAGAAAGATGTAGAGAAAAACTGCTGAGTTGAGGAGCAGCTTTTGTGAGGTTCATCTGGAGGTCCATTTATGGGGAACAGGGAGGAGAAGGAAGAGTTCATCCTTGATACAGTTTCTGTTCATCCTCACTTTTTTAGTAGGTGGACGGGGGGCTGGAGAAGAGACAGCTAAAAGAAGCATGCATGGCTGGGCACATTTTGATAAGAGGATCGAAACCTCTGCCGGCCGGCATCATACCGAAACCCGGTTACTCAGAAAGCGCTGCTGGCAGGCTGCCGTCCTGTTAGCAGAAATGTGCATTGCCACGTGGTGAGCTGCAGCACCCTGTTGGGAGCAGAACTCGAATGATGAGATTTGTGAAACTGAGAAGCAGTGTTTCGTTTGGCGAAGAATAGGAGCTGTGATGCTCATTTGACCGCCAATCTTGAGGGAAAAAAAGACAACCCCATCTATGGAAATGTTGCCCATGGCTCGCCAGCAAAATTAAATCTCTGGTTAGGTAATCTCTGGAAACCTCTAAAGAAACAAGAATGATTTTTCCCACTTAATGGATGAGCACATTTAAGAGACTAAATGATGTTTCCTTATTTGTGGAATCTAAAAAAGGATACAGACGAACTTATTTACAAGACAGAAATAGTCTCAGGGACATAGGAAAACAATCCCATGGTTACCGAAGGGTGACGGGGAGGGAGGATAAATTAGGAGTTTGGGATGAGCATACACACTACTCTATGAAACACAAACAGCAAGGACCTACTGTAGACCACAGGGAGCAATATTCAGTAACTTGTATAAATATATTCTTTTTCAGATTCTTTTCCATATATATAGTCTTTTCAGGTTCTTTTCGGCGATATATATAACAAACTTTTCTGTACACTTGACACTAACATAACATTGTAAATCAACTGTACTTAAATTTTTAAAAAGTAATGTTTCTATGTTAATAACTCAATGGTGCAGCTGCCACCAGACCTCAACATTCTTGAATTTAAAGGTACTATTTATACTGTTGTTCAAAACTGATCAAAATCTATGTCTGATCTCAACATGGATTACCATTCTAAAGGTAAAGTGTAGTTTATCCATGCTTGATTGGTACTACATTCCCTAGAACTTTCTTCCTTGTGTGATTTGCTACAAGAACATTATGAGATTCACATTTGCACAATGTTAAACTAAATTAGGTCAAAGGCAGTGTAATAATCATCTTTTTAATCTCAGTGTCAAACACGGTTCCAGGTCACACAATAGGGGCTCAGCTAATACTGGATAAATGAATAAATGGGTCCTCTTGCTCCCCTGGGACCACACCAGAACATCTGACTACACTAAAGTGTGAGTAGCAATTTATGTGCAGAAGTTATGAGCTTTGAGGAAATGAGAAATTAAACATATTCTCTAAGAAAAGCAGTGATTGGTCAGGAGTATGGCTCCATTTCTGATTTCAGATAAATATTCATCGAAGGACAGCTGACTATAAAATTTATGAGCGTTCCAAAGGTTGATCAGTTTTACCATGCTAAACAGAGTATCCTAGTAAGTAGGAATAGTGTAAGTCACATTGCTAAACCATGTCATGATACAACATCTATTAGTATCTTGAATTTGAGACAAATCATATTTTACCTACACTCTTTTCCAGTTATTATAAATTGTCTTATGCCATCTGACAAGTCATTTTTATCAAATAATTAAAAGTTGACCTTCCCTTTAGCTTTGGCATCTTACTACTACATGCTCTCCAAAATATGTCTTTATTCACCACTGTTTTCCAAAGTTTTCAAAGTTGCTCACCAGCAAAGACTTTACTGTTGATTTCAATCACTGTTTAACCCCCATTTCTATTAATAATTAATGGATAGGCTTACATAAAGGAATCACTAATATTTAGTCAAGTACAAAAGAGGCTAAAGGCCTATCTAGAGACCTGATTATCTTTTTCAGACAATGGGATCAAAGTTGATTACTGACCTTTAGATCTAGTAGGCTGTAATTAATCATGTGATTTTGGAATACAGTACTGGGAGGGGGAGTGAGTCAGTGTTGCCTCAGGAATGGATTGCTGTCTTTCTCTTGTAGTTTGAACACTTGGGGGACACAACCTGTCAAATCTTACCCTGTCCAGTAAGCTACAAATCATCCCATGATAACTTAAAGCCTTTTCAGTCTTTTGAGAGTGGAAGTACCTCTATAAAAATGTAACATTTTACAGGCAAATATGTTAGTACACATTCATTTACAAATGATTTTCCAACTGCAGTAATCAAACTTGGGCAAGACTCCATGGGGTTAGAGCAAAGAGTGAATACCTGCATAGTGAGGAATATGGACCCCAAAACAAAAATGTTTCTGTCTTGACCAATGGCTGGCACATTCTGGCTCAACTCAGAGCAAATCAACTTTAAATAAGCTGGGTGACTTTGTATCCCAACATGTTCAAGTTACCCACAATGTGTCTGTTACCCAAGCATAATTATTAATAGCACCCCTTTTCATTCTCAAAAGTACATCCTGATATGGATGGTAGATTATATCATCACCCTATAAGTAATCGTGTCCAGCCAATGAGGTATGAAAAAACTAATTTTAGCAGTTCAAAGGGGATTCATAGGGATACATTGCAAATCAGATCCCCAGTTTATAGGTGAAGACCAATTCCAACACTGATCATCTGGAAAAAAATTGTGTGAGGATGAATGAAATGAATTAGGCAGCTCCTGTGTAGGGACTTCCCAGGTGGCGCAGTGGTGAAGAATCCATCTGCCAATGCAGGAGACTCGGGTTTGATCCTCGGGTCGGGACGACCCCCTGAAGGAGGAAATGGCATCCCACTCCAGTATTCTTGCCTGGAAAATCCCATGGACAGAGGAATCTGGCAGGCTATAGTCCATGGGGTCCCAAAGATAGTCAGACACGACTGAGCATGCACACACGGAAAGTCCAAGAAAGGTGCTTAGGTGAGTCATGAGGGTGATGGGAGAGAACACTGGGGGGAGAGTTACACACGATATCCTAGATAATTTTGGAATTGGAGGGTTTCCATTTGTTTTGGAAAAACAACAATGTAACATCTTTAACACATGTGATGAAGATGTCCTTCTAGGAGATTTAATGAAAGAAAACACTTGAAAGTAGCTTGACTGATCAACAGATTTGGGTTTAAAATACCATTGTAAATGTATATGATGGTTTCTGGAGCGGATTGATTGTGAGTAGCTAGGTAAGTCTTAGCTGGTGACTCAGCAGTGAAGAATCCGCTGCCAATGCAGATGTGGATCTGATCCCTGGGTCAGGAAGATCCCCTGGAGAAAGAAATCGCAAACCACTCCAGTATTCTTGCCTCGGAAATCCCATGGATAGAGGAGCCTGACAGGCTACAGTCCATGGGGTCTAATAGAGTTGGACAGGACTTAAAGCAACTAAACAATAACAAAGTTAAGTTTTCAGCTACTTTTCGAAGAACTGTTTCTATAGAGTGATCTGGATAACACTTTTGTCATCTACCACCTCCAGCTAATTAGAATGTAAAACCCTTAAACATAAATAAAGATGAGCAGATGGAGTTAGAAGGAATAGAAGTCTCTGATAATTCTCAATAACACATACGTTGATGAGCTTCTGAATCATAACTTCATTCCTTTTTCCTAAGACACTGAACTGCCTCTATTAAAATGTGAATCTGTGCGTCCGAGTTTAAAAAAAATAGCCCTGGAAATTATTAACATTTTGAAAATAAAGAAAGGGTAAGCTAGTCCTCCAGTTCTTCCTTTTTCTGTCTCCAAGAATATAAATAACATACAAATAATGAAATATTGCAAAGAAACTGGAAGGTCATTTATTTTGCAACTTCTTATTTTTGTCTTGGGGACTTGGAGTGAACTTTCAGCTGCTCAACACCCTGTTATAATTGCCAGAGGAACCAAGAGTTCACTACAAGGTGGTCAGCAGTTGGTCAGCAGTTGTGTTATGTGTGGTATGCAGCAGTGTATTGGATTAACCCATCCTGAGGCTTTATTTAGTGCTTTATTCCTTTGCTTATTTAAAAGTAAGGTGGAAAAGTGTCAGGATAGTCTGCCCTTCTAGCTTAGGGCTAGCCATTGAATCTTTTCCTTTTCTAGATAGTTCACAGTTGCTAGGTTATGGCTCTGAATATGGGTCACATATGAGTAAGACTGCCTCAACTGTTCAGCTTCCTGTTTTCCATGTATAGCGTCCCCGTGGTTTTTTTTTTTTTGCTCAGTCCATGGAGTATTGCCTCTGGTGGCATTCCCTGCCAGCTTTCAGATGCTGAACATTTTTAAGAGCCCAGAGGGAACAGTGTTTTTAGGCAGCTCTTTTCAGACACTGAGTTTCTTCAGCTGGAGAAGGGAATGTGCCTTCCCAAATAAGAATGAAAAATATGCCAAATATAAGCAGTTGAATAGCACTAGAGTTATTTT